GCAAGCGCACAACAGGTAAACCATTCTAGGTTTGAGTGGTGATCAAGGAGGAATTTGGCTCTATTTGTGATATCTGAATTTTACTAGAACGTATACAATTAAGAAAATGTAAAAGCTGTACAAAAACACAATTAGAGGGGAAATATCCAACTTGGTGGATTTGGATTGTAGAAAAACAAAACCTTAACTAAGCTGCCATCTTGATTTAGGGTGGATCAGGAATCAAAATGCACCATTCACACCAGAAAATTGAATGCATTTATCTTTAAGAAATCTCAAAATCCTCCAATACCATGGGCTGCCTTGACACATTTTAAAATGTGCTAATTCTTTTCAAATCGAATTTAACACCCTGAGCAATTTTTTAATTTCTTAAAGAAGATCAATCAGTGTGCTTTATTGATACTCTGCTCTGAGGCCATATCAGAAGAATGTCTGATAGCCACGGTGCTTATTCCTGAGGTTTCTTATCCAAGAAAATCCATATGTAGGACTCACTATGCTCTGAATTTCCATCACACTTATGATGGGCCCTAATCATTTCACTACAAGGAAATGGGAAACATTCTTATGAGGAAATGGGGCAAGAGACACTTCCCAGAGCCCCCAAACAAAGCCATGGTGGGCAAAACTTCCCCAGTACATAAACTGCTCCTCACTTCCCAGGTGCACAAAAGCTACTCCAAATACCTCCTCCGTCTTCTTATTGTTTACACGAGGCCTTAGAACACTACAGTTTAAGAACCAGGAACATAAAGGGTCTTTAGTTTAAGGACTTCAGTTTTGCCTTTTCAAAAGTCCCTTCATCTCAAAGGCACTCACAGGGCAAGAGCACAGAGCATAGTAAGTCAAGGGGTCTAGACCCACAAAACAAGGGGGACCCAGTGGGGGCAGGGCTGGGTGGGCCAGCACTACCCTAGATAAATCTCATAACATCAGTGGAGCAGGGGCTCTGAATGCAGGCTCCCTGGGCTCAGATCTCAGCTCTTAACATTTATGAGATATGTGTCCTTGGACAAGTTACTTAGCCTGAAAAAGAGACACCAATAGCACCCCCCTCGACAAGCTGTGAGGGGTAAGTGAGATACTGCACATAAAGCAGGATCCAGACCAGATTAAATGCCCCAAAGAGGCAAACCCCTCTGATTACTGCAGCTGGCCTTTGGCCACCCTTGATAGAGGCTTTCCTCAGACGGGCTCCCGGAAGGCTGCGTGTATTCACGTTTCTAATATCGTGCGTCCTCACCCAGAGACAGGAAGATGTTCTTGTACTTGCTGAGCCCTGGAGAGCCAGGCCTGTGAACATGTGATTATCTGGCAATAACCACTTGGAAACTGCAGGCCAAGCACTTATCAGATGCAGTGAAAATATCCAGGCAGGGTCTGTATAATACCGAGTTGGGGAAACTGCCTAATCCCTGCTCCTCGGGCTCCCTTCACGGTCTGGCAAATCCACACCTCACCGTGGCTGCTGCCAGTCCTCCCAGCTCCCAACAGCCCTGCAGGAGCGATCCTGCTGCAAGCGCAGCCAGCCAGTTGCATTGACTGCACCCATTACGGTCAATAAATCCCTCGGGCCCTGCAAGGTGATCAGGGGAAGGGTCTACTGGCAGCTGGAGTAGACTCACCCCCAATACAAAGTGCTACTGCTTCCCTTTCACTCATATCAGTCCTGAGTCTCCCCGATCTTCAGATATTATGTGCTTTGTTGTTCTTTTCCTCTCAATGGAAAAAAAAAAAAACCTATAGTCTTCCCTCCCTGCCCAGAAATCTTCAAATACCAGCTTACACGTCACTCTTTAGAAGGTCTTCCTGACCAAGGTACTCTCCACCATGTCTCCCAGACACACACTCATCCTGTGGCAGTGCCTCCCAGCCCTCTTCTCACCAGGTCACACATAGAGAATGATACTATTTGTACTGCACACTGGGGTAAGTGGGCACAAGGCCACTGGAGGTAGCAGGGCCCATAGATGCTGCATCTGGGCTGAGAGGATGGAAATCTTGATGCACCCCTAACCCTCTCCTGGAACATGGCCTTGTCTCACAGTGCTGTGTCTTACATCGTAGTGCTTGGTCCTACATCACAGTGCATGGTACGCAGTCCTGTATCACAGTCTTGTTCCTATGTCGTAGTATGCAGTCCTGTGTCGCAGTGATCATTACATTTAGTGACTTGCCCAGTGACTTTTCTGTGTCCCCAACAAGACAGTAAACTCCATGAGCTGGACTGGGTGCTGTTCACCGGTGTCTTCCCCACCTCTAGACCAGGGCTGATTCCCGCAGTGTTCAATAATATTTGTTCAATGTCTGAACAATACAGACAGCAGGAAGCAGGACAGGGGCACAATGAACACAGAACAACCTTCCTGATTTAAACTTAATTTCCTTTTCAAAATCGTAAAGTAAACCTCCTTTATAAACATCTTCAGGAGTAAAGTTACCTCTGTCCTGCTCTCCTTTTGGAGGCAAACAGAAAACAATTGAAAGGAAAATCATCTTTGACTAAGTTGAAAATGGTCTCCAGCCTGAACCACTAGGTTTCCAGAGGGGCTGCCAAGCGCAGTGAAAACCAGACCACGTCAGGGAGGAGGGAAGCAGCGGTAACAAGTCTGCAGGACTCAAACAACGCAGCAGCTATCTTAAGCAGTTCCTCTTGAGGAACTCAGCATGTCTGGAGCACAACTCTGGGCCCATTTGACACCACCTAGTGGGCAGGGAGCCAAAGAAACGTGCAGACACGCCATCTTTGCTGAATGCACTCTCTCAGCATGGCTGGGAAGAGAAGGGACTGGCACTGATAACAGTAGCGAGCACCTCATAAGTGTTAACGTTTGCCAGATGACATTTAAGGGCTTTAAGAGCACTGGCTGACTTCATCCTCAAATGAATCCTATGAGACAGGAGCTATTCTCCTCATTTTACAGATGGGGAAACTGAGATACAAAGAGGACAAGTAAACTGCCCCAGGCCATACAAATTGAAAGTAGGGCAGCCAAAATTTGAACCTTGGCCTGCACTCCTGAGACTGCACTTTTAACCACAAAGCCAGTCCCGAGGCTGCTTAGTCAACAGGAGGGTTTACAATGCTAGATCATGATATGAGGAACTGTGGGTTATGGCTTCCCTGCTAGACACACTGTGTGGGCCTTAGGGCAGAGTGAGACAGAAACAAGAGGCAAGATCCAGAAGGACAACAGACAGAGTCAAATGTCTCCACTCTGGCTCCTCCCCGACGCCGGGTCGGCAAACAGCTGGCTCACAGAGCACAGCCCCTCACAGCTGATTGATGCCTGAGAAGAACTGGCAAGGCACCTAAGCAAAAACTCTGCAAGAAAGGAGGAAAGAAGCTTGACCAACTAGGGTGAGAAATACATACCCAAAAATGATGTCACAAAGGAGACAAAAATGATGGGTGTATTAATAAAAATATGGCTTCTCTAAACTAAGACCTCAAAGAACAATATAGGCCTCTAAAAAGAGGTAAGATAACAAAAGGATATAAAAGTAAGTTGACAAAGTCCATGGAAGAAATGGAAGAGAACAATAAAGCCATTACACAAGCGAAAATCTCATCAGAAGAAGCGAGAAGAGACACTACCGAATGCAGGGGGGGCATAAGACTTGTGTATAAAGTTATGAAGGTAAAATACTAAAAGAACTAAAATCAAGTAAAACTCTTTCAAATTATCAGGAAAAAAAGACATTCGAAACGCCAAAACATTGCTACCCTGTGAATGAATTTTAAAAAGTATTAAAAGGAAAAACTATAATGCCCCCCCCCAAAAAAGATGACAGACCAAGGCCAAATGTACATCTGTGTACTGACACAGAATGATTGGCAAGCTGTAGATTTTAAAAAACAAGGTTCAGAATGTAGGTAGAGTATGTGTTTATTTGTTAAAAAAAACAAAAACTAAAAAACAAAACAGGATATGCATTCATATGAATGCTTGTATATAAACAGAAACATGAAGAACACATGGTAAACTGTAAACAGCAGTCGTCTCTGAGGAGGGGGACTGGCGCTCTGTGGAGTGAGCAGGGGTTACTTTGATAGTATACCCTTTTGTGCTGTTTGAATGTTACCACCATCACCACCTCAACAACAAACTTTTTTAAAAAAAGGAAAGTATATATTTTTTTAAACCATCAAGTATATGTGAAAATATGAACAACTACACAATGGGAAGCTCTAGGGTCATTTCTCAGGTTGAGTGGCCCAGCAAGTATACCAACACAGTCAAACCACTGAATAAACGCAATTTCCTCCCAGTTTTTACAAGTTTGATCTAGGTATCATTCTTCCCCTAGCTAGGGATCCAGTTCAATAATATCATATCATTGAACAACTTCAATCTTTTCATAGCTTTTCCATTCAGCCAAGAACATACATGCAGGCATAAAAATGTCCCCATACGTACAACCAGAATGAGTGATGTGCTAAACAAAGGCGCTTGGCAGAGTTCTAGCCTCTAGGGGATAAGTAGCCAGTGGTTCTTTAGACCGACAAAGGAAAGAGAGTTGCTGCATGTCATTCTGTTCAGACTGAATTTTCTCCATGATCCATTTACAATAAAATTAGGAGCAGAGAGTATATAAGTAATAGCTGGCATGGCTATTACTGCTGTCCTGACGGCCTCACTGTGGCATACTTGGAAATCCCAGCTATAGAAGTAGGGACCCAGAATTGTCATGGGGGCCCTTAATGACAAAAGTTCTCTTCTTCATGGCCAATTTTGAGATGTACAATCCTTAGGCTACAGAAAAAAGGTATCTGCTTTATTTAAATGAGCTAAAGGTCAAGTGACACACTTAATTTTCCATCTAGAATCCAAACCTCCAAAAGAACAAAATGGGAACCATCTTCCAGTGTACTCCAAATGATTGTATTTGACCTGAGTCCAGGCTCCGTGGGGCAGATGGCCAGAAACGTCCACGTGATTAACGAAGAGACATGTTCTGCAGCGAAATAATGACTTAAGGAAGAGCAATCTTACCAGCTGCACCCGTTTTAAAAAATCAACGAAGACATCGCTTCTCAGCATGTTTGGGTCCACGGTTACTGAAAAACATGGACAGTGAGCCAAGTTAGCACAGGGCTGGGTTGATGTCTCTATTAAACTGCTCTGTCCTCCAGGAAGCCCTCCAGGCCTTGCCAGTGCAGCACTGCCTCCTCGAAGGCAGGGAGCTTGTGACTTCTCAAATATACGAAAATCCACAAAGTCCACCTCCTCCAAGCAGCTTTGATGACAACAGGAACCCATCCCACCAATCTCAGGTGACTCTTTCCAGGAATCTCACCTTATTCGTGTATACCTGTATCGCTCAATATCCATCTTGCTGCCCCACCAGGATGATGATGAAGTGAATACGAAGAAGCGAAAAGATCTTAAAATTTGTACCTAGACTCTCACTTTTGCAAGACACTTGGTACTTTGAAAATTTTAAATCAACCAAGAAACACTGATTGAGAGCACGTCTTTTAATGATGGGAGCTCTCAAGAAGTCACCAAAAAAAAAAAAAAAGCAATTATAAGGCTGTCAGAGAGATTTAAAGTTTTTCATTCTTCTATACTTAGAAGAGTATTTTCCCCTCAGTTTTAAAGCTCCACATACTAATACCCAGGTGCTGAGGACAGAGCAGACGGGCAGAGACCTTCCCCCGAGAACTCCGACTCACGCATGAGGGGGTCCCCGGCCCACTTCTGCATTTCTTATCTTCCTTCCCACAAGTCCTCTCCTGGACTTGCTCTTTAGCTATACTTATGCACTTATTAAATCTGTATTAAATATCTTTCTTTTTTCTTTTCTTTTTCTTGCTGTTTTACTGGTTTCATCAAATAACTTCTACCAGCATTCAAAACCAGCCCTGACTGGGGTCATTGCAGGTTGTACCTTTCTCAAACAATGCCATGTTTTGCACTATAAAGTCACTAAGATAGAGATAGTCTCTGTAACATGACAAACTTTTTATGAGAGGCATTCTCTCTTTTCTGAGGGGTTAGCATCAGGGGGGGAAAAGCCTTAGTCTTATCTTCTGGAATATATGTGGTATATATATTCCAAACTAACTTTATAATCGTTAGCATGGGTTCTTAGGGATGGGGAAAGCTATTGAAAAAAGTGTTCACCCAACTGTACAATTGTTAAGTAGCAGGTACTATGCTAAGCACTTTGTATATTTTAGCTCATTTCATCTTCACAACAAACCCTGAGGTAAATATTATCTCCATCTTACAAAGACATTGAGGCTCAGAGAAGGTGTGTCTTACCCAAGGGCACATAGCCAGTGAAGTGCAAACCTGGGATTTGACTCTAGGTCTCTAGATCTGTGCTCTCAGTCATGATATTAAGCTGCACCGTCTCCTCGCTTCACCTTGCCAAAGAGGATGCACAAGACGTCCTGATGACGTGGAGAAAGACCAGGCCTGGAAGAGTGACCCCTTAAGCACTTTAAGACCCTGTAAAGGCCAGTTATTAAAGAAATATTTCACCATGATGTGATAAAACAAAGAGAGAATGAAAATTCAAAAGATATTACATTTTGAGCTTGAAAGGACATATGTAACAGGTCTAAAAGAGGTATATTCTCCATTACGAAAGACAAACGGGAAATAGATGACTTCTAGAATTTTTATTTATGTTTTAAAAAATGTGCAGCCATGAGAAATAATGAGGTAAATTTATAATTGCTGGCCCAGAATGATCAGTAGAATACATATTTTAAGAGGCAAAAAATCGACATACAGAAGAAAAAACTTTTTTTGTTTTGCTATGAGGACGTCAGTGGAACAGCTGGTGAGGTTTGAATCAGGTCTGTAAACTAGATGACATTACTGTGTCGAGATTAATTGCTTGATTTTGATAACTAGACTGTGGTTATAGAAGAGAATGTCTTGGATCTTAGGAAATACACAAAGCTTTTAAGGGTTAAGTGGCTTGTATGTGCAACACAAGCATCTCAAAAAAATTATATATTATATATATGTGTATGTATATCCATATATATCCATAACACACACACCCCCACAGGAAAGTGAGAGAGAACGATAAAGCAAATGTAAAATGTTAACATTTGGGAAATCTGGGTGAAGAGTATACAGAAATTATTTGCATTATTTTTGCAACTTATCTGTAAATCAGAAATTCATTCAGAATAAAAAGTTTTTAAGAATCAGGTACAGAGAACTGTGTAGAGTAAGTTTCAATTTGTGTTCAACAAACAGGGGTGTACATACACACTACTAGGCACACAGATAGGTTCTAGGAATACACAAGCCACTGTACTAGTATTTTCTTCTAGACGCCTAGGAGTCTGGGGTAGAAGGGAATGTACCTTTCATTGTATACCCTTTGGACAGGTTATATTTTTAAAACATTTTGTGTATATACTGTTTCTGCTTTTTAAAACCCTTAAATATTTTAATGCCCCTTTTGCTATTTCTCCTAATCCTTTCTTTTTGTGCGAGCTCAGGCTTGCCAAGCACCATTGTGCTGTGCATAGCGTTTTCAGGACAAAGGCAAGGGGCAAGGACCGTCGTGCTGCAAGCCTCATGGGGCCAGAGCAGACCTCTGAGTGTCCCTGGTGTCTTAGCTCAGCTTCCTGGTGAGGACAGAGATGGAGGTGCAATCTCTGGCACTGCCAGTTAACATCTCTGATACCTCCTGAGAGCTTTGGCATAAAGAGTTCATCTTATCCCTTTCTTCAGTCTTAATCCAGGTAATATTCCTTTGACTTCTACAATCAAAGCCAATATATAGCACCCAGGGGCGAATATGAACATAAAGCATTTTTAAAACCAAATACAAAAACCACATATTCTATGATTCCATTTAAATGAAACGTCCAGAATAGGCAAGTCTATAGAGACAGAAATTAGTGTAGTGGGTGACAGGGCTGGTGGAGGAGAGGAATACGGAGTGAGTGATAATAGCCGTGAGGTCTGTTTTTGGGGTGATAAAAATGTTCAAAATTAGATTATAGCGATGGTTCCACAATCTTGTAAATATACTAAAAACCACTGAATTGTATACTTTAAATGGGTGAATTTTATGGTGTGTAACCTGTGTCTCAATAAATCTGGAAAAAAGAATCCAAATCCATACCATTTTGCAAATACTGTTCCAACTGATCCCTCCTCTCATCAGCCATAGATGTGGTCATCGCGAGGTAGTACTTCGGTGGAAAGGGCGGCAGGCAATTTCCAAAGACCCGCCTCAGCTGAAAGATCCAGAAAACACACAGTTGAAGGCAAAGAGCCTCCAATTCCAGGTTAGTGAGACACCATACCCTTCTCTTACAGCAGGTCTCACTCCAGCACTTCATTTAGAACTAACCATTCCTGGTGGCCAAAAGGAGGAAAAGGGGATACTTGGATTTTCTTAAGGAGGAATTTATTTCAGCATAAGTTTCTAGAGATACTATCACACATATCACAGACTGATGACTCCGGTCTGAGTTTAGTAGACTTGGGGTAATTTTAATTTTTCATATGTTTTTACAAGACTGCCCACCACGCACATCATACAATACTTCTTTAACTCATACCCCAATAGTGTCTGTGATATCAATGAGGATAGTTAGGAATTTAATTACCTCACCCCACCTCCACCAAATCTGAACGTAACAGCAGATGTTTACAGCTGTGCCATCTAATATGGTAGCTACTAGCCACCCATGGCTAAGGGGCACTGGAAAGGTGGCTAGTCCAAATTGAGATGAGCTATGAGTGTAAAATACATTCCAGACTGTGAAGACTTAGTACAAAGAGAATGTAAAATATTTCACTAATAATTTTTTACATTGATTATATGTTGAAATGATAATATTTTGGATATGTTGGATTAAATAAAATATATTATTAAAATTAATTCTACCTGGTTCCTTTTAATGTGGCTATCAGAAAATTTAAAATTACATATGTGGCTCATATTATATTTCTATTGGATGGGGCTGGTTTAGAGAATTCCTATAAGTCTGACACATGATCCAATAGAAACCCAGTTAGGCCCTTCCCTCCTACCTACCCATAGACCATGGTGGTAATTTTATGCAAGCTGATAGTGGATGCATCAAAAAACAATTTTTAAATTAAGATAACCAAGGGGGCCGGCCCGGTGGCGTAGTGGTTAAGTTCACAAGTTCCACTTTGGCAGCCCGGGGTTTGCAGGTTCGGATCCCAGGCGCAGACCAAGGCACCACTCATCAAGACATGCTGTGCCAGCGTCCCACATACAAAATAGAGGAAGATCAGCACGGATGTTAGCTCAGGGCCAATCTTTCTCAGCAAAAAGAGGAGGATTGGCAATGGATGTTAGCTCAGAGCCAGTCTTCCTCACACAAAAAAATTAAGGGGGCCAGCCCAGTGGCATAGTGGTCTAGTTCACGCACTCCAGTTCAGCAGCCCAGGGCTAGCAGGTTTGAATCCCGGGCACAGACCAATGCACCACTCATCAAGCTATGCTGTGTGGTGGCATCCCATATACAAAATGGAGGAAGATGGGCACAGATGTTAGCTCCGGGCCAATCTTCCTCAGCAAAGAGGACGGGCAAGACATGTTAGCTCAGGGCCAGTCTTCCTCACCAAAAAAAAAAAAAAGAAAACCAAAAGTGCATCTTCCTTCATTCCAGCCCAAAACCCAGAGTGGTGGCTTAAAGATAAGGCACAGCATCATTCTCTTTAAAATAGGAGAAAGGAAACCAGTCAGAAACCCAGTCAGGTTTTAACATGGTACTTCTGGATCAGGAGGGCTGAAATTCTTAAAATTACTGTAGTCAGTGGCTTAAAGAAAATGAAAGCAGATGTAAGAGAAACAAGACTACAAACAGGTAAGAATTTTAATTCCATGACCTTTGCCACAAATACAGTGCATATTTGACAAATATTTACCTTGCCTAGGCCCTAACTTCAGAATACATCAAGAATGTGACCACTTCTCTCCACCCTCACTGCCATCGCCCTGCTCCAAGCCACTGTCATCTCTTTTCTAGATTATTGCAGTAGCTTTACAACAGATCTCACTGTTTCTGTCCTGGACCCCCTTCAGTCTATTCCTAATACAGCATCTAAGGTGATACTTTAAAAATGTAAGTCATATCATTCCACTCCCCTGCTCAAAATCCTTCATGGCTTCCCATCTCACTCAAATAAAAGCCAAAATCCTTACAATGGCCTAGAACCGTGCCATCCAATATGATGTCCATTAGTCACCTGTGACTATTTAAATTTAAACTCAAATTAATTAAAATAAAATTTAAAATCCAGTTCCTCAGTCATACTAGTCACATTTCAAATACTCAATAGCCAATGGAAATGTGGCAAATTGCTGCTGAATTGGACCAAGACATAGAGCATTTCCACAGAAATGCTCAGCACAGAAAGTTCTATTGGACAGTGTTGGTCTAACATCTGGAAAGGTTATTAACTGCCTGCCTGTAAGTAAGAAACAGCTCCCTGATGTGTTTTGTTTGGTATGCTAGGTTGTAGTTTAATCGATTTATAGAGAATTTGGATTTGATGCCAATTTCATTTTTGCAATTTAAAAATTTTAAAAGTTATGTCTTGGAGGGAATGCAAAATGGTATAGCAACTTTGGAAGATAGTTTGGCAATTTCTTACAAAGCTTATGTTATGAAAACTATGTCCACAAAAATCTGCATGCAAATGTTTACAGCTGCTTTATTCATAACCACCAAAAACTGAAAGCAACCAAGATCCTTCAATAGGTGAATGGACAAACAACCTGTGATGCATCCATACAGTGGAATATTATCCAGCACTAAAAAGAAATGAGCTAACAAGCCATGAAAAGACACGGAGGAACCTTAAATGCATATTCATAAGTGAAAGAACCCAGTCTGAAAAAGCAACATACTGTATGATTTCAATTATCTGACATTCTGGAAAAAGCAAAGTTATAGAGATAGTAAAAACATCAATGGTCACCAGGAGTCTAGGGTGGTGAATTGGTAAAGCACATGGAATTTTTTAGGGCAGTGAAACTATTCTGTATGATTACTGTCATTATGGATACATGACACTATGCATTTGTCAAACCCACCGAACTTTACAACACAACCTTAATGTATGCAAATATTTAAAAATCATTTAGGAGGCTGGAGGAATCTCAGGACGGAATGCAAAATATAACAAAACAATCTAACTATATTACACACGTATGAAACAACTTCATTGAAGGGAGCGAAGGAAAAAGGTGTTGACCTAAGTAGCTTTGGAAATGAGTGGAGTCTGTAAAACTAAAGGCAAAAGAAACTACACAAGCACTGTACCCTAGTTGATAAAGTGGTTTCCCGTGGGGGTACAGGTTAACAGTTCTGATACTACTATATGTGTGTACAAATTGAACAATTAAGCAAATGGATAACAGGTGGTGGGAATCAGGTTTCTCATGGTTGGAGTGAGTTTTCAGATAAGTAAGGGGAGTAGGCTAGAATGCTCTATGTGGTAATGGATTATTTGGAGATATTGGTATGAACTCATGTTTGGCTTAATATAGATACAGATAGTTACACACAGAACTATTTATAGATACGCATATATACCCACATTAGTATACACACATATTTTCCTGGCTCTGTTAACTGAGAGGGCCTAGAAGCAACAACACTTCAGTAGCAATGAACACACCTAGTACCCAGATCTTGGCTTCTAATAGCGTTCTCCAATAAAAGCAACCAGGGTTGCATGGAGAAATAGTTGACTCTAGGACCAAGAAAGGAAATATATGGGATGAGTCTGGAGCATCTTGTAGCACCAGAAAATAAGGAAGTACTCAAAGCAAAAAAATCAGCAATGGGTGTATGTTAGAGACACAGGAGTAAACTGAAAGAGCTCCTGTGGGCCGAAGCTGGAACAATTAAAATAATAAAATAAAGAAGTATTAAAGTATAACCCTAAGTATAAAGTAAATATCCATGAGCCCATACAAATATAAATTATTGAATAAATAAACAGGAGAGAATAGACAAATTTCCTGTGCAGAAGAATCCCAAATAATTTACATAGATACTCATCCACAAGGAGATGGAGCACAAGTCCCACTCTTTAAGTGTGGGCTGTGCATAGTGACTTCCTTCCAAAGAGTACTCTATGGAAAGTAAGGAAAAAGAGTAACTTGACAGTGGTGAAACCTGACACACTCGACCTCAGCCAGGTGATCAAAGTCAACATCAACACTGATAAGTCACGTTGAGAATAGGTGCCTTCAAATACGTGATTAGAATGGCACTTGACCTCTGTGGTCTTCCTCCCAAAACCCATAACCTCAGTCTAGTCCTGTGAAAAACATCAGATTCCAACTGGGGACATTCCACAAAACAGCTGACCAGGACTCCTCGAAATGGCTCCAGGAGCCTGAGGAGACATAACAACTAAATATAATGTGATGTCCTGGATGGGATCATAGGACAGAAATAGGACATTAGATAAACATTAAAGAAGTCTGAATGAATTATGGACTATAGTTAATAATACTGTATTAATACTGGTTCATCAGCTGTAACAAACGTACCATACTGATGGAAAACAATAGGGGAAACCAGGTGTGGGATATATGAGAATTCTCTGTACTATCTGAAAAACTGAAATTTTTTTGTAAGTCTAAAACCGATCTACAAAAATAAAGTTTACTTAAAAAAACTGATGTTCTTTGTTCTGTTGAAAAAGCAGAAAGTCTGGAATTGCTGGTTCACACTCCTCAGGCAACCGTCCCCTTTAGAGGAGACCTGAGCAGTTCCCACCATTCCCCATTGCCTCTCACTTGATCCAAGGCTCTCATTTAAATGACTTGCCTGCCCCCTGTAGCCATTTAAGTTTGCAACCTTTCTTCTAAATCTAGTAGTATAAATATTATAGCCATAATTCTGTTTCTTTTAAATTCAAGGAAATTTTCCTGCCATACCAAACACTATCCAGTTGGAGCATCATCCCAGGAAAGGCTGCTCAAACCACCTAGGATTTACATGCCCCATCTCTGCTAATTCCACTAAATAGAAGCAGAAACTTGTCTTTACATGCAATTATTTCTTGATTAACCGATTAAGTAATCTTTAAAGGCAATTGACTTCCTTGGCACGTGTTCATATATTTCACAGATGCTCCCAATTTGGTTCGAAGACTCACAGGAGCCTTGAGCCACCAGGGCTGCCTGGGTTAGCCCCCTGCAGGAGAGCATCTTGGGGAAACCCCTATCCTAAAGCCA